GGAGGAGGAGGACGTCCGAGGAGCTGGATTGGGGGGCGCGAGGGGCGCCGAAGACCCAGGGGAGAGGGCACCCCCTGTGCGCGTGCTGTTGCTCTTGGGGGGGCACCTCAGTCCTTAGGTGTCGGGGTCCTGCCCCGCGTCGCTGTGGGGCCGGAGGGGGGATGAAGGGGGTGTAGAGAACCTTCCTCCTGACAGGGGCCGTTCGGGTGTTTATGGCGTCACGCCCGGGCCTTAGAGAATTCCAGCTTGAAAAGGAGCCCCTGACCGGTGTGCTCAGTGGATAGAGCGTCGGCCTGCGGACTGAAGGGTCCCTGGTTCGGTGCTAGTCAAGGGCACAGGCCCGCCCCGGTTGCGGGCTAGATCCCGCCCCTCCCACCAGTGGGGGGCGTGCAGGAGGCAGCCAATCCACGATTCTCCCTCATCATTGATGTTTCTCTCGCTTTCTCTCTCTCTCCACCCTCTCCTCTCTGAAGTCAATAGAGTAAGATAAAAAATTAGCCTGCCCTATTTGGTCAGACATGTAATTACCTCCCCCCAATGCCTTGGCAGGGCCAGGCCAAGTGATTTTGGGGGGCCTTCCGCACCCCAGGGCCGAACGTTCCCCATTGCTGTCTAAATGAAGGAAAGTATCCCCGCCCCTCCCTCTCCTCCAGGGAGCACAGCGAGGGGGAAGGAGTGCTGTCCCCTGGGCCTGATAACATCCCGAATGTCACCCTGACCGGTGTGGCTCAGTGGATAGAGCGTCAGCCTGCAGACTGAAGAGTCCCGGGTTCGATCTCTGTCAAGGGCATGTACCTTGATTGCCGGCGCATCCCCAGTAGGGAGTGTGCAGGAGGCAGCTGATCGGTTTCTGACTCTATCCCTCTCCCTTCCTCTGGCAAAAAAATCAATCCTATATAATAAAAGCCTAAATGCAAAGTGTCCGGTCGTTCGTTCAACAAATCAAAGTATAATATGCTAATGATATGCTAAGGCCACTCAACCGCTCGCTATGATGTGCACTGACCACCAGGGGGCAGCTGCTCCAACTGGTAGGTTGGATTGCTGCTGGGGACAGCTGATAGGAACTGAGCTAGACGGGCCGGACACACCCTGGAGCCCTCCCAGAGTCCCTCTCCTGCTGGCCAACCTCCCACGTCCCTCCCGGCCCCGATCATGGGGTCCCACAGTCTGGTGGGGTCCCTCAGTCTGGCCTGCACCCTCTCATAACCCGGGACCCCTGGGGGGATGTCAGAGAGCCAGTTTCAACCCAATCCCGAGGCCAGGCCAAGGGACCCCACTGGTGCATGAATTCGTGCACTGGGCCTCTAACCCCAAACCTCAAAACAGGGTGACGCGGGAACTGCCTTGTCTCTCCCTCACAGGTGAGGACACTGACGCCTGAGAGAAGACAAGTAACCGCTTCCAGGAGGAGCCAGGATTCAGGCCCGGGCCCACAGACTCCAGAGGCCCCGCTGCACTGGCTCTCATGCAGTCCCCTCCACAAAGGATGGAGGTGGGTGCTCTTAAACACTTTTTTTTTTAACACAGTTTGTTCTTGTATATTATTTCTTTATTATTGTACTAGAGGCCTAGTGCACTAATTCATGCATGGATGGGGTCCCTTGGCTTGGCCAGCAATCAGGGTGATTAGGGCCTTCTCACCCAGTCCCAATCAGGCCAAGGGGCTGGGGAGGGACCGAGGAAGGGCCCCAGGGCGTGTCTGACCCCATCTGGCCCAGTCCCAATTGGCAGACCCTGCAGCAAGCTAACCTACTGGTTGGAGCGTCTGCCTCCTGGTGGTCAGTGTGCATCATAGGGACTGGTCAAGTGGTAAATCAAACAGTCGACTGATCAGTGGGACACTTAGCATGTTATGCTTTTATTATGTAGGATTATTTCCTTTCTTTCTCTCTCTTTCTCTCTCTCTCTCTCTCTCTCTTTCTCTCTTTCTCTCTTTCTTTCATCCTTTCCCTTTTTTAGAGAGAGTGGAAGAGAGGTAAAGAGAGAGAGAAATATCGATGTGAAAGAAACACATCGGTTGGTTGTCTCTAACCAGGGCCTGGACTGCCCTTGACCAGAATCAAACCCAGGACCCTTCAGTCCACAGGCTGAGGCTCTATGCACTGAGCCACACTCTTAAACACTTTCTGACCAATGAAGAAACCGATTCTGAGATGGGTTTGATAGCTTCAAGAGTTCAGATCCCCAAAACTTTCACTGAGCTATTTATTTATTTGTTTGTTTATTTTATTTTGAGAGAGAGAGAAAATTATTGATGTGTTGTTCCACTTATTTTTGCATTCTTTGGTTGACTTCCTGTATGTGCCCTGACTGGGTATTGAATCCACAACCTTGGTGTATTGGGTGTACTAACCAACTGAGCTACCTGGCCATGGCCTCACTTTTTTTCCTGGGCTCTAGATATTCTGACCCAGTTTCTCTAACATAAAACGGAGATGAGCCCTGGCTGGGGCTCAGTTAGTTGGGGGTCGTCCTGTGCACCGAAAGTTTGCTGGTTTGATTCCTGTTCAGGGCACCTGCCCAGGTTGCAGGCTCTATCCCCAGTAGGGCATGTGCAGGAGGCAGTCGATCAATGGTGCACTCTCATCATTGACATTTCTCTTTCACCCTCTCCCTTCCTCTCTCTCTATCTAACAATCAATAAAAGCATTTTTAAAAAATATATATTTTATTGATTTTTTTTACAGAGAGGAAGGGAAAGGGATAGAGAGTTAGAAACATCGATGAGAGAGAAACATCGATCAGCTGCCTCCTGCAGGCCCCCCACTGGGGATGTGCCTGCAACCAAGGTACATGCCTTTGACCGGAATCGAACCTGGGACCTTTCAGTCTGCAGGCTGACGCTCTATCCACTGAGCCACACAGGTTAGGGCTCAATAAAAACATTTTTAAAAATTAACATAAAAAATAATAAAATGGAGATGCTGCTATTACATACCTCATAGGACTGTTATAAGGGTTAAATGAGCCCATACCTGAAAATATGTGGTGTGGCGCCGGCCACATAGAAAGTGCTCAATGAGTGTTCACTATTTTTTTATTTTTTTAAATATATTTTATTGATTTTTTACAGAGCGAAAGGGAAAGGAATAGAGACTTAGAAACATCGATGAGAGAGAAACATCGAACAGCTACCTCCTGCACACCCCCCCACTGAGGATGTGCCCACAACCTAGGTACATGCCCTTGACCAGAATCGAACCTGGGACCTTTCAGTCCACAGGCCGACGCTCTATCCACTGAGCCACACCGGTTAGGGCGTGAGTGTTCACTCTTATTATTATCATCGCTAGAGGCCCCGGGCATGGATTCGTGCACTGGTGGGGTCCCTGAGCCTGGCCTGCCCCCTCTCGCAATCCGGGATGTAGTAGTGTATGAAGTGGCAGGCGGCCAGGGAGGAGCCCAGGCGGGCCTGGCCTTAGCACTGAGGCAGGAGAGGCTCACACCTCCGTAGCCATGCTCACCAGCAGTGAACCCGGCATCTGGCGCCCGTAGGTCAGCTGAGCAGCGTTCCCGCTGTGGAAGTGCACTGACCACCAGGGGGCAGCTCCTGCATTGAGCATCTGCCCATTGGTGGTCAGTGTGCGTCATAGCGACCGGTCAAATGGTCGCTTAGGGTTTTAGAAAGATAGATGATAGATGATATATAGATAGATAGATAGGTAGTGATGCTTTCAGAAAGCTGTGGAGTTTAGAGGGAAAATACCAGAACTTTTCCTGATAGAGGAAACTCGCCTCAGGGGAGACAAGGGACTTTATTTCAAAATTATTGTTTGTCCCAAAGCAAAATGAGAAACAGGGTCTTCTTATAGTTTTGTCCAATGACCCGCAAGCCACATAGACTCTTTCTGGGGAAATCGTTTCTTTAAAACATTTTATTTTTTTAAAATATATATTTATTGATTTCAGAGAGGAAGGGAGAAGGGAGAGAGAGACAGAAACATTGATGATGAGAGAGAATCATGGATCAGCTGCCTCCTGCACACCCCTCACTGGGGATCAAGCCTGCAACCTGGGCATGTGCCCTTGGCCAGAATCGAACCTGGGACCCTTTAGTCCACAGGCCAATGCTCTATCCACTGAGCCAAACTGGCCAGGGTGGGAAATCGTTTTTTCAAGTCTCATACAATCTACACTAATCCTCGCTGGTTAGCTGCCCAGGAGGCGTGTTTCCTGTTATATTCTGGTGTCTGCTTGGGCGAATAGCTTGGGCGAGAGGATCAGGCCCACCCAGGTCGGTGACTGGGCTCCGTTATTGACAAGCTGTGAACCTTGTGCAAAAGACCTCACGTCCCAGAGCTTTCATGGGTGAACAGGTGATGGTGTTTCCTGTTTTCACTGAAGATCGTGAAGGTTAAATCGGGAGTCTAAAGATAGGGTGCCTCCCAAAATATGCATGCATGCACTTTGAATGATTATAACGGCAGTGTTTATTAAAATACGTTTCATTTTCAGAATTGAGCTTTCCGCTGTAAAGTGTGCATACATTTTGGGGGACACCCTGTATGTGCAGCCCACCTGATACATCTCTTGTTGATGAATGGGTGGCTTTGAGGGGAGGGGGCATAGGTCATACTCAGTCTAAAACCCGAGCAGAGCAGTACCCCAGCTGTAACGTCCTGGTCTCCCAGCGAATGCCTGGGCTGAGGGCAGGGTGGGTGGGAGTGAGAGAGTGAAAAGAGGGAGCTGAAGGCAGAGTTTCTGGGCTGCGGTTCTTAGAGCTGCTCTGGCTCTCACTCCTCTCTCCTCCCCCAGCTCTGCGCTCGCGGGGTAGAGCCCGTCGAATGAGGAGCCAGGCAGAGGCAGCAATGGGCATTGACCTTCTTACAGCCATGCCCCCGGTGAGTTGGCACACCCCCTTCCCTCCTTACAATAGTTGTGCCTTCCAGGGTTTGGTCATGTTCGTTTTCTTCTGAAAATTGTCTGCCTCATAGTTCCACCCTGGGGGTTGGTTTCTGTTTCCTCCCTCCCTGATGAGTGCTGGGATCACAGGGTCAGACTCCAACCGCCCCGTGTCTCTGGGAGCCACCTCTTCTTCCTGTTTGGTGTTCTCTCTTCATTGCCCGTGCTCAGCTGTTTGTACGCCATCTGACTGCACAGCATACAGTCCTTAGAGGAATCGGAGAGCTGCCACCTGCCTGGTTCCTATGTGCCCATCTGGCTCTCAGAGAGCCAGCAGCCTGCTGGGGAAATGAAAAGGCAGCACACATAAATACTAGAGGCCTGGTGCATGAAAATTCATGCACTGGAGGGAGAGTCCCTCAGCCCTGCCTGCCCCCTCTCACAGTCTGGGAACCCTCAGGGATGGGAGGCGACCTGGCGATCATCAGGGGACGATGACGCCCCATCACACCTCTGCTGCTGCCACTGCTGGCAGCACAAGCCTCAGGTGGCCTTGATTACCTGAGCCTCAGGCCGGCCCTGGGCAGCTGGGCAGCCGACATCCAAGGCTTGCCTGTGCCTCGGGCTGGCCCTGGGTGCCTAGGGGGCTGAGGGCAGGTCGGCTGCACTGTGCACCTGCCGTGCCCCTACTCCCTGCCTCTCCCCCCTCCCGTGGGGCTGAAAGGACTGGGTGCCACCAGCATTTGTGATGGTCAATTTGCATATTCCCACTTTATTAGATAGGATGTTCTTATGTATTTCAGAGAGGAAGGAAGGGGAGAGAGAGAGATAGAAACATCAATGATGAGAGAGAATCATGGTTTGGCCGCCTCCTGCACGCCCCCTACTGGGGACAGAGCCCGCAGCCTGAGCATGTGCCCTTGACTAGGAGTCCAACCTGGGACCCTTCAGTCCACAGGCCAACGCTCTACCCAGTGAGCCAAACCGGCCAGGGCTGGGCACAGTTCTTAACACCTTAAGAACGTTAAGATTGACACAGAACTTAGACACAGAACCTAGAGATACAGAACCTAGACACAGAACCTAGAGACAGAACCTAGAGACGGAACATGGCAAAAGATCCTGGACAGAAACTGGCCACAGAACTTAGAGACAGAACCTAGAGACAGAACATGGCAAAAGACCCTAGACAGAAACTGGCAACAGAACCTAGAGACAGAACCTAGCGAGAGAACCTGGCTGAAGATCCTAGAGACAGAACCTGGCTACAGAACCTGGATAGAACATGGCAAGAGAACCTGACTAGAACCTGGTGACTGAACCTGGCTGGAGAACATGGTGACAGAACCTGGCTGGAGAACTTATCGAGGGAACATGGCTACAGAACCTGGCTGGAGAACCTGGCTGGATAACCTAGCAAGAGAACATGGACATAGAACCTGGCTGGAGATCCTAACCAGAACTTCGCTGGAGATCCTAGACAGAACTTGGCTGGGGATTGTGGCTAGAGATCCTGGCAAGGCTGCTGATCAACTGAAAAAAAAAAAAAAAACAAACGTTAAGATTTCTTAGAATATGTTGTGTAGGCTGAAATGATGTTCGTCAGGTCGGCGTCCTTCCGTCAGACGTTCCCTTGCAGTCCCAGAGCTCTTTAATTCCTCCATGTAGAAAGGTGATGTAGCTTCGAATATAAATCAGATATTTAATATTTAATGATACTGTTTTTAATGCAGTCGACATTTTTTTTTAAATATATTTTATTCTTTACAGAGAGGAAGGGAGAGAGATAGAGAGTCAGAAACATCGATGAGAGAGAGACATCGATCAGCTGTCTCCTGCACATTTCCCACTGGGGATGTGCCTGCAACCAAGGTACATGCCCTTGACCGGAATCGAACCTGGGACCTTTCAGTCCGCAGGCCGACGCTCTATCCACTGAGCCAAACCGGTTTCGGCAACATTTTTTATAAATTTCATAGAATTGCTCCAAGAGCAGAGAATGGCTCTCATATATATTTTTATTTTTCCTAATTTATACAATATAACTAGGCAGAAAAGTTGTCCAGGAACTAACTCCCACTCCTGGGTCAGTTAGACCCCCATACAATTACTTACACACGTTCCCCACTCCACCCTCCGAGTGTGAGCAGCAGAACCCTTTACCCTGGAGCCCCCCGAGTGGGGACGTGAACACCGGTTGAGCAAGATGGCATTTGTGTCGTTTTAGGACGCAGTGACTTTCCCAGATGTGGCCGTAGACTTCTCCCGGGCTGAGTGGGAGTGCCTGAACCTCGCTCAGAGGACTCTGTACAGGAAGGTGATGTTGGAGAACTACAGGACCCTGGTCTCCGTGGGTAAGAGTGCCTGCCTCCCTCACCTCCCCACAGGAATCTTCCCGCCTCAGCTGTCTCTCAGGGCTTTCTCAGCATTTTCCTACCGTGTCCCTCTTCCCTCCCTACCGTCTGGACTGGGTTATAATTCTGCAATAGCCACAGCATAGCCCGTTTTCTCGTCTCTTCCTTTATGCAGGTCTTTGCGTGTCTAAGCCAGATGTGATCTCCTTGTTGGAACAGGGTGAAGAGCCCTGGGTGACGGATGGCGAGAGGGCAGGAGGCCTGTGCCCACGTACGTACAGGATTGCTAGCGCTGGGGAAGCTATTCTCACGATGTTCCTTCTCTCTCAGACTTGTTGGACAACAACTTTAAAAGCCCCTCCCAAATGGAAACATCTTGTTCTAACTCCATTAAAAAAAAGGTTATTGATTTGATGGAGAGAGATGATGCGGGGAGGGGGGGAGGGGATCAATTGGTTATTCCACTTATTTATGAATTAATTGGTTGATTGTTGTATATGCCCTGCCTGGGGATCGAACCTATGACTTTGGTGTATCAGGAAGACACTTTTAACAACTGAGCTACCAAGTCAGGGCCTCTAACTCCATTTTTTAAGTCTCTCTTCTCCTCCCCACTGGCACGATGTGCCACCTGGATCTTCACTGATCTCCTGCAAATCCCATAGTCTGTGCCTGGACGCGGCTATGTTCCGCTTATGTTGACCTCGTTACAATCATTCCTGATAGCATTTTTGGATTCCTCGGACAAATTTGTGTTCAGTTGTTTAAAACTTTTCCTTTTTTTAAAACGTGTTTATTGGATTAACAGTCATTGTAGCTGTGTTCTTCCTTCTACTTTTAATTATTTTTCCTTTGTTGTCCTGTGATTATTTCTTCTTGCCTTGTTGTTTATATATATGGTTTTTCTCCTTTCACACCATCCCACCCTGTGAATTGGAAAGGTTTTCAGTCCCACAAGGTGTTACCTTTATGTTTTTATGTATTTTTGAATCTATATTTTATAATTCACATGAGACTCGGAATACCACCTTTTGATACCCACATGAAAGGTGAACAGATCAGCTCACCAATGTACCTCCTGCCTCTTTATCTTCTCCCACTTTTTAAAAAAATATATCTTTATTGATTTCAGAAGGAAGGGAGAGGGAAAGGCAGATAGAAACATCAGTGATGAGAGAGAATCATTGATTGGCTGCCTCCTACAAGTCCCCTACTGGGGATCAAGCACGCAACCCAGGCATGTGTCCTTGACCGGAACTGAACCTGAGACCCTTCAGTCTGCAGGCTGATGCTCTATCCACTGAGCCAAACCAGTTAGGGCAATCTTCTCCCACTTTTATTGTCATAATTAGGATTTGTGCCCCAATTTATTTTCTTCAAACTTAATTATGTGTTTTCACCTGCCCTGCATGAAAGCTGTTTTTCTGGTTTAGAAAATGAGTTAACAGTGTATAAGGTATACATTGCGGGGAAATGGGCCTCCGTGAGATGGTTATAATTTGTTCCATGGCTATAGTGTGGCTTTTTCCTGATATCAATTATCATATTTCCAAGAAGAGGATTGTTGCCCTGACTGGGTAGCATCATTCTGAGACACCAAGGTTAGGGGTTCAACCCCCAGTCAGGGCACATACAAGAATCAACCAATGAATGCATAAATACGTGAAATAATAAATCAATGTTTCTCTCTCTCTCTCTCTCTCTCTCTCTCTCGCAAATGTATTAGAAAACAGTAGATATGAATTTAAATCAAATAGTTGCTTCTTTAGAAAACCAATAAAACAAACTGTGAGGGCAAATGAGAGAAAACACAAGAAAAGAAATAAAACTAAACTACCAATAGTATATAAGTACTTAAAAGAATCACAGGAATCTATTTTCCTCAACTCTGTATAGATAATTTGAAGACTTAGATTAATTAAATGGATAATATTTTCAGAAATCATAAATTACCACAACTGATGCCAGAAGAGAGAGAATTTCAACAGACCAGTTACAAGAGAAGAAATGTAGACAGTCATCTAAGAACTGCCTCCCCCAGGAAAAGCAGCTACTCCATTATAGTTACACAAATAAATTCTATAAAAGCTTTTAGGAAAAATATCATCAGCGTTGGTTCACATGTTCTGTGACAGAATAAAAAGAAGTTTTAAAAAATGTGTTAATAAAGACAGCATAACATTGATACCAAAAGAGTACCAAGAAAGGAAATTAACAGACAAATCTCAATTATAAATATTGGTATAAAATCTTTAATTAAAAGTCTTGTTGAAATAATATACCAGAGCCTGACTGGTGTGGCTTAGTGGTTGAGCATCAGTCTATGAAGCAGGAGGTCACAGGTGGATTCCCAGGCAGGGCACAAGCCCAAGTTGTGGGCTGTGCAAGAGACAGCCAATCAATGATTCTCTCTCATCATTGGTGTTTCTGTCTGTCTCGCTCCCTCTCCCTTCCTCTGAAATCAATTTAAAATTTTTTTAAAGAAAGGTTTAAAAAAATAAAAGAAATAATACACCATAGCCAAGGAGACTTTATTTGAGAAATGTCAAATTAGGTTGCGTTGCCTAACTTCATCTAAGAATTATCAGAATATTAACCTCTGTGGGCTTCAGCAACTGTTTTGACTCCCCTGGTCTCATTTGAGAAGTTTTTGTTTTTCTAGCATTAAATAAAGGAGCTATTTGCTTTCTTACTACCTTTCAGACTCGGAGTGTGTGTGGATGACCAAAGAATTATCTCCAAACCAGGACATTTACGGAGAGAAATTATCCCAGGTAACGATAACGGGAAGACTTACAAGCTCTGATAACTTTGAGTGTTCCACATTAGGGGAAAACTGGAAAGGTGAAGACCTGTTTGGGAGGGACCTGGTAAGTCAGAAGCCACAGTTTAGGCAAGAGACGGTCAATCATATAGGTGCGCTCATTGAGAAAAAAGACCACTCTAACAAACCTGGGACAGCTTTTCATCTGAATACATTTTCTTATGTAAAACACATATTTCCCATTGAAGAGAGAACATACCATTTTGACACAGGTAAGGAAAGCTTAAAAACACAGGCATTTGTTAAAAAACACAAGCAAGCCTGTGGAGGAAAGAAACTTCTGACATGCAAAGACTGTGAGAAAACTTTCAGCAAAATCTCTACCCTGACTCTTCATCAAAGAATCCATACCGGAGAGAAACCCTATGAATGTATTGCGTGTGGAAAGGCCTTTAGCCAGAGTGCCCACCTCGCTCAACATCAGAGAACACACACAGGAGAAAAACCCTTTGAGTGCGCCGAGTGCGGGAAAGCCTTTAGCCAGAATGCTCATCTTATTCAACACCAGAGAGTTCACACTGGGGAGAAGCCTTATCGGTGTCAGCGGTGCACCAAAGCCTTCAGCCAGCTTGCACACCTCGCTCAGCATCAGAGGGTCCACACAGGAGAGAAACCCTATGAGTGCATTGAGTGCGGGAAGGCGTTCAGTGATTGCTCCTCCCTGGCTCATCATCGAAGAATTCACACGGGAAAGAGGCCCTATGAATGTGCTGACTGTGGGAAAGCCTTCAGGCAGAATGCTTCTCTCATCCGCCACCGGAGGTACTATCACACCGGAGAGAAACCCTTTGACTGTGTGGACTGTGGGAAGGCTTTTACAGACCACATTGGACTCATTCAGCATAAGAGAATTCACACCGGAGAGAGGCCTTACAAATGTAACGTGTGTGGGAAGGCGTTCAGCCATGGCTCCTCCCTGACTGTACATCAGAGAATTCACACGGGAGAGAAACCGTATGCATGTGCGCTCTGCGAGAGAGCCTTCAGCCACCGCGGCTCTCTCACTCTTCACCAGAGAGTTCACACCGGGGAGAAACCCTACGAATGTCAGGAATGTGGGCAAGCGTTTCGGCAGAGCACACACCTGGCTCATCACCAGAGAGTCCACACCGGAGAGAAGCCCTATGAGTGTCAGGAGTGCGGCAAGGCCTTCAGCCAGAACGCACACCTCGCCCAGCATCGGAAAACACACACGGGAGAGAAGCCTTATGAGTGTGAGGAGTGTGGCCAGGCCTTCAGCCAGATAGCACACCTCGCCCAGCACCGGCGGGTTCACACGGGCGAGAAGCCTTACAAATGTACAGAATGCGGGAAGGCCTTCAGCGATGGCTCCTATCTGGTCCAACATCAGAGACTCCACACTGGGAAAAGACCATACGAATGCCTCGAGTGTGGGAAGGCGTTCAGGCAGAGGGCGTACCTGATTTGTCACCAAAGGTGTCACACGGGTGAGAAGCCCTATGAGTGTAACGTGTGCAGGAAAGCCTTCAGCCACCGCAAATCCCTTACTCTGCATCAGAGGGTTCACACGGGAGAGAAACCTTACGAGTGTCAGGAATGTAGCAAAGCCTTCAGCCAGGTAGCCCACCTGACGCTGCATCGGAGAATCCACACTGGAGAAAGGCCCTACGGGTGTGAGGACTGTGGGAAGGCCTTCCGGCAGAGTGTACATCTCACGCATCACCAGCGAATTCATACTGGAGAGTCCTCCTCCTGCTCCTCCTCCTCCTGCTCCTCCTCCTCCACTCGTCCCTCCTCTGCACCCACATGCCACCGAGTCCTCTAGTTCAATCTCCCCAGGCCTCTAGAATCCACCCACACTCCCCAGTCTGTGTCCCGTCAGCCTAATCCAGGACTTTTGCAAATAGCGTTACAGCCATTTCCCCTCTTGCTCTCCTCAAGTACATAGTTTTAACACTGTAGCCAGCTTAACCTCTTAAAAATTAAAATGTACTCATATTACTTTTCCATTCAAAACACAGGTTTTGAAGACTGTTAGGTGATCCATCTAAAGGGCTCGGCACATAACCCTTGGCACATACTTAGTGCCCTTAGAGTAAAAGTTGCCTTACAGATATGTCCACCTACAAGGAAAAGGAACCAGTAGGTCACGATGACGAACCTGCAGTCTTCAGAGCAGACAGAGGGCTCTCGACTCTGCCTGTAGGTACGAAAGGTGAACACACTGGGAATTGAAGGAGTCTGTGATCCACAGGGTGACATGGCCGCTTACCGCTCCCTCCGTGTGAATAAATATGAGTAGCACTGATAATGAGGAGTGCTCCTCAGTGCACTTAGAAGTGAGAATAGGCCAATCAGGACAAAGTCGTTTGGTAGAATGGAGGACTAGCCAGGGGAGAGTATTAAACACTAACCCAAACAAGCTAGGAAACTCAAATAGATTCATAGCATGGAACAAACTGTAAGAGGCAGTTCAACACTGTGACCGATTGAAATGCATCATGGACAATTCCTGAGATATTGATATTGTTCTAGAGCGTAAAGTAAATATAAATCTTCCCATCTTGTTCTATGAAACTGAAGACTGATCCCAAAACAGAGAAACGTATACTGCAATCAGCGTATAAATGTACACGCTAAAACGTAAACTCATTTTTTAAAGGCAGACGTGTCTGTACAGAAAGACTCAGTCTGGCAAAGGTATTTCTCCCCACGTTAAATATGTAAATTCACTGATGTTCCAGTAAAAGTCCCTGTATATTGTAAAGGCAGCAATAGAATTGTGATAAACAAAGAACGTAGTACTTGTTCTGCTAACCTTGATTGAGCACTTACTGTTCCAGATGCTGAGGACACACTAGGGTGCAAAATGTACAAAGAGATTTTGCTCTTATAGATCAGGTGGGGGAAGACACGAAGAAGTAAAATACACAGTATGTGATGAGTATGTGACATGTACCATTGTAAGAAATCTAAAGGAGGAGCTAGGGGCCGGGTGGGGTAGCTCAGTTGGTTAGAGTGTCATCCCGACATGCCAGGGAGGGTGCAGGTTCGATCCCCGGTCAGGGCACGTACACGATTCAACAAATGAATGCATAAATAAGTGGAACAGCACATCAGTGTTTCTCTCTTAAAAAAAACAGTAAATTTTTTTAAAAAGCAAGGAGCTACGGAGTTCTGGGAAGAACGCCTTCCTACCCCCAGAACGTGTGGCAGTAGCGGCAGGGGAGTGGGGAGAGCAGCAGGAACTGTCAGATACAAAAGGCATAAGGAGAGCAGTTGCGATGGCCCAAGGCAGAGAGTAGGACGCTTCAATGCTGCGGGAAGAGAACCGATGCTGTGTTCACGCGTTAGCAACAGTGATTGAGAGGCTGGTGGCGGGTGTGTTTCTGTAAGAGCCTCATTGAGATGTAATTCACACACCATACAGTTCACTTGAAGTACACGACACATGGACGTGGTCAGGGTTGTGCAGCCTTCGCCACAGTTGCTTTTAGAACACTTTCTTCACCCCAAAAGCAAGCCCGTGTCCTTTAGTAGTTCCCCTGCCCTGGAGGAGTACTCTGAGCTCTCGGGCTCCCTTGTGACTGCTGCAGTCCACTGGAGGGCCCTGTGAGGGGACCTCTTTTCTCTCTCTTCTTTTTTATTTATTAATCCTCGCCCGAGGATTCCATTGACTTTCAGAGAGAGTGGGGGGGGGGGGGGGGGGGGGAGAGACAGAAACAGCAATGTGAGAGACATCTGCACGTGCCCAGACCAGCGCCAGGGATCAGATCGAACCTGCAACAGGGAGGTACATGTGCTTGATGGGAATCGAGCCCCAGACCCTTGAGTCTGCAGGCCAGCGCTCTATCCACTGAGCCATACTGGCTAGGGCATGAGAAGCTCTCTTATCCAGAGGACATGGCTCCTCTACTTTGGCATAGAAACTAGGAGCAGTGCGTTCCTTGTTCTACATGAGATGGGCGCGGGCTTCTCCCACCTGTGTGGAGGGTTCAGACCCTCCTTATATATTTTTGGTAAGAAGCATGCTCATTGCAGTGGGAGAATTGGAGCGACACTGAGCTCTCCAGGGAGACCGAGATCTCTCCCTGGCACACTGACAAAACTTGAAAGGTTAAAGATGTAAAGGTAAGATGTTAAGGTACCAGACAGAGTTAGAATATTCCTATCATCTTGCCCTGGGGCAGATCCTCTTAAGCACTGCGCACGACCCAGGAGCTGATTTTTATGCGGAAAACATCAGAGTCAAAGTTAATAGACAAATGAGAGACCAAAAGGATATGTTTGCAACAAATGAAGGGTAATCCTGATATTTAGAGCACTGATACAGGTCAGTCATGGTCACATTTGCAACTCGGTAGAAAAAGAAGCATTCTTCATTGCAGTGGGAGAAATGGACAAAGCTAACAGCCAGGTCAAAGAAGGTGAAATAAAACAGCTAACGAAAGTTACACGATATCACTAGTAGGGAGAAAAATGCAAAATAAAGTGATGCTATATCCACTTTTTCCCAATAGATTGATTTTAAATCACAGAAGAGTGATAATACTTTGTGAAAGTGTGAAAAGACAATTCCATGGTCAGTTATACAAGTTGTCATATGTATATATTATTTGAATCAAAATTCCTCAGAAACCAGTGTGCAAAGGTAGGTGAACATACAATGGCAAAAAAAAATTTTTTAAGTGGTAACTTATTAGGGTAATCAGCAGTGGTCAGCAAACTGCGGCTTGCGAGCCACAGTTTGCCGACCACTGGGGTAATGGGTAAGTGGGTAAGTTAATTATTGTGTATTCATTCAATAGAATTATGCAGTTGTTTAAAAAAGAAATATAAATGTGTATATAGGCATAGAGAAGTAACTGTGCCATACTAAATGAAAAAAACATTTTCAGACCTATATTCTAGCATAAACTCATAATTGTGATACCAAAAATAAAACCTAAGTTATATATTTTTCTGTCTTTCTCTGCCTGTTTTTTCTTGCCCCCTTCTTACAATGACACCATCTCTCCTTTTCTTTTGCGTGACTGACCAGCCCTGCCATCTGGTTCTGATGGACCTGGCTGATCGAATTTTCTGGAGTCTGAAATGCAGTTGTGTCTGTGTCACGCGGTGGAAACGCCCTAAAGGTGTGAGGCTGGTGCTCTTTGGAGCCACCTGGGCTTTGTGCTTTCCAAGGTTGTAATCCCTCAAACTACCCATCATCCTTCCAGCACTTTGTTTCTGGCTCATATTCCTCACTTTACAGCAAGTAAACGAACTTAATCAATGTACTAGAAGAATCTGGTGGGAAGATGGGGGAATAGGCAATAGGATCTTTGGGAAGTTTGAGGTGTGAAGGATTAGTTTGGGTTTGAGAAGGGGGAAGTGAGACTTCTGCTTCTTTTCTAGCCTCGGGAAGTCACACCTCCTGGTGTGGGCCCTGGGCAGATATCCGAGTGAGTTATTTTTCGTGGGAGTAGCCTGAGAGGAACAGAGGTCGAGGATCCTGGATAATGACAGTTTTAAGAGGAAAAGGAACGCTAGTCCAGAGAGTGTAACTGATGCTGGTACCTCACTGCTCTGAGTAGTTTAAACACAGCTCATGAACTTCTAGTATCAAGGCAAAAAATTTCAGCTAAGGGTTCTGTGTGATGTGGCTGAGAGATCCTTACACTGTTTGAAGTCACAGGGTTAAGACTGCTCGAGCGCTGGCCGGGTAGTCAGGTGGTTAGAGCTTCGCCTCAGTACACCAAGGTTGCAGGTTCAATCTCTGGTCCAGGCACATACAAGAATCTGGAAATAAATGCATAAAAAATGGAACAGAAAATTGATGTATGTCTCTCTCTCAAAAGAAAAAAAAATCACTCTTCCATATCCCCCAACCCAAGGTAACCATCATATTGAATCCTGACACATCTGTCTCCCATTTTCCCTTTTTTTTTGGTGGGGTGGGGGGGAATGTACATCATTTTCCTACAGAAATGGTTTATAGATTCTGTTAATAGTTACCGTCAGGTTGTAGCCAGGCCCTGCCGTCCTAAGAGCCAAGGCTGCCTCTTAAAAATGACGGTGCAGTTTTTGCTCTTGTCTACTTCATCTCACGCTCCTCACAGCCCAGAGAGCTTCGTTTCTAGACAACAGCAGGACGGATGGGTTCTTTGAAGACGTCAGAGAGAGAGAGAACTGTGCATTCTGCTTAGAGAGTCCCCATCACAGACGGGTCCCCCAATGAGGTTCAGCGCCATGACCAGGTCTATGGGGAAAGGGTTCAGTACCACGGACAGCTCAGTCCTATGGGCAGGCCTAGCTGACATGGGTTTCAGCACCATGGACAGGTCCGCGCGGGGTTGGGGGCGGCTCGGTCTGTCTGGCTCGGCTAAACAGACAGGTCTGTCTGAAAGGGATTTCAGCTCCACGGAGCAGGAGTATATGGGGAAGGGGCGGCACCACAAACAAGGTCGATCCCAAAGAGGGTTCAGTGCCACGGCCAGGTCTAGGGGTGAAGGTTTCAGCACCATAGACAAGAACCTTGGGAATGTGTTTCAGCCTTGCGGACAGGGCCGTGTGCTTCAGAACCATGGACAGTTCAGCAGACCCCCGCTAGACAGGCCTATGGGGAGTGGTTTCAGCACCACAGACAGGCCTATGAGGAAGTGGTTTCAGCACCATGGACAGGAGCTTATAGGTACACGCGGGCCTGTCTGTATGGCGTTCAGCACCGCGGACAGCGCCAGGGCCCTGCTTTCCCAGGGGCCTTCTCTAGCTGCCTGTGCTCTTCTGAGCAGATTCCTGACCCCACTCCCCACTCTCACCCCAGCGTCTCCGAATGCTGGCATCTCAGCAACCCAGGCTCTCCTGGTGTGAACCTCAGAAGCACAGGCACTAAATGCTTACCGTGCCCCAGAGGGAATCCTGGTTTTCTCCATGCGCACACAAACCTCGACCCTGCTCAGTGCCCTGCTGGACACTCGGCTGCACAGGCTCAAAGTCCAGAAGTCTCCCTTGAGACTTTGACGCAGCCTCCATGAGAGCAGTTTGGAGGTAGTCGCTGCATTGTTCAAGGTGCATAATCGCGATTACAAGAGCCGCTATCAGCTAACAGCTATTGGCTATTAAACAGCATACAGGCATTATTGACTTTTACCTTCACAGCAATCCTGCGAGGGAATAGGCATATCCTTTCTAAACAGAATGGGAAACTGAGGCACGGAGATGACAAGTGGCAACGACACAGGGGTGGCAAAGGGCAGAGCCAGCCCCTGACCCCCGGGTCCCCAAGTTGCCACGCTCCCGCCAGCGCCTCCCTCTCTCCTCCCAGACCCCCTGCCCTGGTCGGGACCTAGTGGTTGCCTTAGTGCAGCGGTTCTCAACCTGTGGGTCGCGACCCCTTTGGGGGGCGAATGACCCTTTCACCGGGGTCGCCTAAGACCATCCTGCATATCAGATATTTACATTACACGAAAATAATTTTATGGTTGGGTCACCAGAACATGAGGAACTGTATTAAAGGGTCGCGGTATGAGGAAGGTTGAGAACCACTGCGGGCTTAGTGGGATGTGGACGTAACCTCCAGGCCCATGGGGAGGGAGGGTGGACGGCGCATCCCACTGAGGCCGACCTCTCGGCCATCCCCACCCCC